TACTGTTGAATCCTATTGGCTAGTATTTTGGTGAGAATTTTTGCATCTGTGTTCATCAAGGATATTGGTCTGTAGTTCTCTTTTTTGATGGGATCCTTTTCTGGTTTGGGGATCAAAGTGATGCTGGCCTCATAAAATGAGTTTGGCAGTTTTCCTTCCATTTCTATTTTTTGGAACAGTCTCAGGAGAATAGGAATTAGTTCTTCTTTAAATGTTTGGTAGAATTCCCCTGGGAAGCCGTCTGGCCCTGGGCTTTTGTTTGTTTGGAGATTTTTGATGACTGTTTCAATCTCCTTACTGGTTATGGGTCTGTTCAGGCTTTCTATTTCTTCCTGGTTCAGTTGTGGTAGTTTATATGTCTCTAGAAATGCATCCATTTCTTCCAGATTGTCAAATTTGTTGGCGTAGAGTTGCTCATATTATGTTCTCATAATTGTCTGTATTTCTTTGGTGTTAGTTGTGATCTGTCCTCTTTCATTCATGATTTTATTTATTTGGGTCCTTTCTCTTTTCTTTTTGATAAGTCTGGCCAGGGGGTTATCAATCTTATTAATTCTTTCAAAGAACCAGCTCCTAGTTCCGTTGATTTGTTCTATTGTTTTTTTGGTTTCTATTTCATTGATTTCTGCTCTGATCTTTATGATTTCTCTTCTCCTGCTTGGTTTAGGGTTTCTTTCTTGTTCTTTCTCCAGCTCCTTTAGGTGTAGGGTTAGGTTGTGTACCTGAGACCTTTCTTATTTCTTGAGAAAGGCTTGTACCACTATATATTTTCCTCTCAGGACTGCCTTTGTTGTGTCCCACAGATTTTGAACCGTTGTGTTTTCATTTTCATTTGTTTCCATGATTTTTTTCAATTCTTCTTTAATTTCCTGGTTGACCCATTCATTCTTTAGAAGGATGCTGTTTAGTCGCCATGTATTTGGGTTCTTTCCAAATTTCCTCTTGTGATTGAGTTCTAGCTTCAGAGCATTGTGGTCTGAAAATATGCAGGGAATGATCCCAATCTTTTGATACCGGTTGAGACCTGATTTAGGACCGAGAATGTGATCTATTCTGGAGAATGTTCCATGTGCTCTAGAGAAGAATGTGTATTTTGTTGCTTTGGGATGAAATGTTCTGAATATATCTGTGATGTCCATCTGGTCCAGTGTGTCATTTAAGGCCTTTATTTCCTTGTTGATACTTTGCTTGGATGATCTGTCCATTTCAGTGAGGGGAGTGTTAAAGTCCCCTACTATTATTGTATTATTGTTGATATGTTTCTTTGATTTTGTTATTAATTGGTTTATATAGTTGGCTGCTCCCACGTTAGGGGCATAGATATTTAAAATTGTTAGATCTTCTTGTTGGACAGATCCTTTGAGTATGATATAGTGTCCTTCCTCATCTCTTATTATAGTCTTTGGCTTAAAATCTAATTGATCTGATATAAGGATTGCCACTCCTGCTTTCTTCTGATGTCCATTAGCATGGTAAATTCTTTTCCACCCCCTCACTTTAAATCTGATAGTGTCTTCGGGTTTCAAATGAGTTTCTTGTAGGCAACATATAGATGGGTTTTGTTTTTTTATCCATTCTGATACCCTGTGTCTTTTGTTTGGGGCCTTTAGTTCATTAACATTCAGGGTAACTATTGAGAGATATGAATTTAGTGCCATTGTATTGCCTGTAAAGTGACTGTTATTGTATATTGTCTCTGTTCCTTTCTGATCTACTACTTTTAGGGTCTCTCTTTGCTTAGAGGACCCCTTTCAATATTTCCTGTAGAGCTGGTTTGGTGTTTGTAAATTCTTTCAGTTTTTGTTTGTCCTGGAAGCTTTTAATCTGTCCTTCTATTTTCAATGATAGCCTAGCTGGATATAGTATTCTTGGTTGCATGTTTTTCTCGTTTAGTGCTCTGAATATATCATGCCAGCTCTTTCTGGCCTGCCAGGTCTCTGTGGATATATCTGCTGCCAATCTAATATTTTTACCATTGTTACAGACTTCTTTTCCCGGGCTGCTTACAGGATTTTCTCTTTGTCACTAAGACTTTTAAGTTTTACTATTAAGTGACAGGGTGTGGACCTATTCTTATTGATTTTGAGGCGGGTTCTCTGAACCTCCTGGATTTTGATGCTTGCTCCCTTTGCCATATTGGGGAAATTCTCTCCAATAATTCTCTCCAATATACCTTCTGCTCCCCTCTCTCTTTCTTCTTCTTCTGGAATCCCAATTATTTTAATTTTGTTTCATCTTATGGTGTCACTTATCTCTCGAATTCTCCCCTCGTGGTCCAGTAGCTGTTTGTCCCTCTTTTGCTCAGCTGCTTTATTCTCTGTCATTTGGTCTTCTATATCGCTAATTCTTTCTTCTGCCTCATTTATCCTAGCAGTGAGAGCCTCCATTTTTGATTGCACCTCATTAATAGCTTTTTTGATTTCAACTTGATTAGATTTTAGTTCTTTTATTTCTCTAGAAAGGGCTTTTATATCTCCCGAGAGGGTTTCTCTAATATCTTCCAAGCCTTTTTCGAGCCCGGCTAGAACCTTGAGAATCGTCATTCTGAACTCTAGATCTGACATATTACCAATGTCTGTATTGATTAGGTACCTAGCCTTTGGTACTGACTCTTGTTCTTTTTTTTGTGGTGAAATTTTCCGCCTTGTCATTTTGTCCAGATAAGAGTATATGAAGGAGCAAGTAAAATACTAAAAGGGTGGCAGCAACCCCAGGAAACTATGCTTTAGCCAAATCAGAAGAGATCCCAAATCGTGAGGGGGGAGAAAGGGGATAAAAAGTTTCAGAAAGAAAAAAAAAAGAAACAATTAAAAAAAGAAAACCAATAAAGAACAAATATAAAAAGGAAAAAAAAATATATATATTAGATAAACTAGTTAAAAAACGTTAAAAAAAGAAAAGGGTAAAAGTTAAAAAAATTTAGCAGAAGAAGAGAAAAACAATGAAAAAAAAAATTAAATTAACTGCAAGGCTAAAGATTCATGGGGAGAAAGTCATGAGTTCCGTGCTTTGCTTTCTCCTCCTCTGGAATTCTGCTGCTCTTCTTGGTATTGAATCTGAACTCCTTGGTAGGTGAACTTGGTCCTGGCTGGGTTTCTTGTTGATCTTCTGGGGGAGGGGCCTGTTGTAGTGATTCTCAAGTGTCTTTGCCCCAGGTGGAGTTGCACTGCCCTTACCAGGGGCCGGGCTGACTAATCCACTCAGGTTTGCTTTCGGGAGCTTTTGTTCCCTGAGCGCTTTCCGTAGAGTCCAGAAGACGGGAATGAAGATGGCGGCCTCCCAGTCTCCGGCCTGGAGGAGCCGAGAGCCCGGGGCCCCACTCCTCAGTGCGCCCTCAGAGAACAGTGCCCAATTACTCCCGTCACCCTGGCCTCCAGCCGCGCTCCGAGCTGACCAAGCCTGCGACCGTTTCAAGGTAACCCTGAGCTGAGAGTCACTCCTCGGCTCTGTCTCTGTAGCCGGCTTCCCCGTTCTAATACCTGTAAGCTCTGCGACACTCAGACAACCCCGATCCTATTGTGACACTGCGGGACCTGAGGCCACGCAGACCCACGTGGGCTTCACCCCGGTTAAGCCTCTGGAGCGATGTCCTCAGTGGAACAGACTTTTAAAAGTCCTAATTTTGTGCTCCGTTGCTCTGCCGCTTCCCAGGAGCTGGCCCCTCCCCCCACAGTCTATCTTCCCGTCGCTTTGGATTCACTTCTCCGCTAGTCCTACCTTTCAGAAAGTGGTTGATTTTCTGTTTCTAGAATTGCTGTTCTTCTTCTCTTCGATCTCCCGTTGGATTTGTAGGTGTTTGCAATCTTTAGATAAACTATCTAGCTGATCTCCCGCTACCTGAAGTAGTCTCAGCCTGCTACTTCTCTGCCATCTTGATTCCTCCCATAGTTGACATTTTACCAATTAGTAAATTGATATTCAGAAAGACTAAGAACATTTCCCAAGTTTAAACCTCTAAGAAGTCTTTAACTCAAGATTCCAAGCTACAGTGTTTTAGTTTGTGTCTGTCTGATTTTCCGTTATCCTATCCAATACATATTTTGATGAAAAAGAGTACCTCAAGCATTGATAAGAGTAGATATAAATTCTTGCCTGACAGCTTCAGATATGTAAAGTATCTATGATTGATTCATAAGCGGGTATGGGAGACAGATGCGGCATGATACTGACAAATACGTTGTTTATGGAAGTGTAAGTTGCAAATATCTTAAGATGGCCTTGGTAAACTTAATAGCCAGTCTTATACAAGTAAGTAGAAGGAATAGATATGAATATAAGGATAAATATTTTTCCAATATCTGTAAGACAATGCCTTCAGTCCAAAAATGAGAGCATGGCAGTTGCTTAGAGAAAAGATGCTTTAGATGTTTTAAATATCCACAAGTAAATAAATAGAATGCGATGGCAAACTGCTAGAACTTGATAGGATGAATTAAAGCAGAGTAAAAGATGATTCTAATTATGGACCAGTAAGAAAATGGTTGTAAGCCTTATGTATATTCAGCTCATTATTACATAATAATCCAAACTAAAAATTATCAGACAAGAGAAAGGTATATATTTTTTAATTTACATAAAAATAATAGGTATGCTGTCCAAAACTGATACTGTGGTTCTTCTGCAATATCATCAATGAACCAGACATTCCATCTCTTTATTTCACCATTTCACAATTCTAGTATGATGCTCCCATTTTTAAGTTTTCATCACATTGTTGAAGACTATGGTTCAAGATTTGTATGTATGATATTTGTATATTATGATATTTGTATATTATGTATATTATGATATCCTCATTGCAAGAAGAAGTAACAGCAGGAGTATAGGTGAAGTTGGTTCACCTTAAAAAGCCAAACAACACTTCTGCTCATGTAATTCACCAAAATTTGGTCACGTTGCCAGATTCATGGAAAAAGAGGCTAGAGAAATCTTGACTTTTATTAACAGCAAACATGAGCCTCTAAAATCTGGGCCTGGTAATAAAGAGAGTAAGAGTGTATGCACTTTGGCAGCACGTATACTAGAATTGGAACAATACAGAGAAGATTAGCATGGCCCCTGAGCAAGGATGACATGCAAATTCATGAAGCATTCCATAGTTTGGATGTTTGGATTCCATAGAATGGATGTTGGACTATGCAAACAGGATTTTTCTGTATCAATGTCCATTTCACTTACTAAAAGAGAATATTGGAAGGAAGGTTATAAACTTAATGTAAGTAGTCTTTAGTATTTATATGCTATCATGTCACATATATATTAATTTCAAATGTAGAACTATAAATGTGAATATGAAATGTTGTATATTTGGGATTATATATTATTTGGATAATATATTTGGAAATCTAGTTATTTTGTAGAAATATATATAATAAGTGAGAGAGACCAAGACATTTTCAGAGGCACAGTGACTAATACTGATGAGTGACTTTGAGGTGGTCTAGAATAAACAATTATATTCTTCTATATTCTGTTTGCAACTGGACACCAAGGCTACTTAACAGTTTTATCTGCTTGAGCTGTATCTGCATATTTTTTAAAAAGATACCATCTTCTGTCATCTTGTGAGCCTTCCCTACCACTTTCATTCAATTCACTCCAGTCATACTGGCCTCCTTTTTATTTTTTAAACTTTCCAAACTCACTGCCCCTTCCTACCACCTGCCCTAGAACTTTTGTTCCTGCTACTGATTAGGCTTAAGCCTCCCCTGTTCCTGCATGTTCATGGGTCAGTTTCTTGCCTCCACTGTGTCTTTAGCTCAAGGATCACTCTCACATTAGTGTCCTTTGTGACCACCATATTTAGAACTACAGCCCTTTTACCACAGCCCTTTTACTATTTTTTTCCCTCCCCATAGCATTCATTACCACTTGTCATGCTATATTATTTTTTAATTTGTATTTTATTTTTAATTTTGTTTAGTGTTAACTATGTTTTTTGTTTTATTTTTATTTTAAAGATTTTATTTATTTCTTTGACAGAGAGAGAGAGACAGTGAGAGAGGAAATACAAGCACGGGGAGTGGAAGAGGGAGAAGCAGGCTTCCTACTGAGCAGGGAGCCTTATGCAGAGCTCTATCCCAGGACTCTGGGATCATGACCTGAGCCGAAGGCAGACGCTTAACGACTGAGCTACCCAGATGGCTCAGTGTTAACTATGTTTTATTCAGTGCTTTATTCCCTATAATTTACCATGCCTATACCACATGGTAAACTTAGGTCAACTGTGGAGTGAATTTAACACATTTGGCTTATTGTTTTATTTAATGCATCATATAAAAATTTCTTGAACTCCTATCCTAATAAGAATTTTATACCTGAAGAAAATTCTGGAGACTGTTCTGATTTTGACCTATCCATCTAAGAGAAATAATTTACCTCAGAAAGCTGGAACCATTTCAGGAGCTGAAGCACTGAAGTTTGTCTATACCCATGGTCCTATAGGTTTCTATTCAGTAAACATCTAACAGCATTACTTATCTTCCTTTGTTGGAGCCCAGTTGTGCTAAAAACAGAAGGCACTAATAAGATATATTACATATATATGGATATAAAAGCTGATTAGACTCGTAGAGGAATATATTTCTTTAGGGTATCTCATTACAGAATTAGAATTAGAAGAGTGTGTTAAACAAATGCATGTGCAATATATTGCTAATTCCTTGTATTAGAAAAATTGTTTTTCATTCAGACTTCTTAAATTGTGACAAGGTTAGACCAGGGCGCCTGGGTGGCTGAGTTGGTTAGGTATCTGCCTTTTGCTTATGTCATGATCCCAGGTTCCTGGGATCCAGCCTTGCATTAGGGCTTTCTGCTCAGCAAGGGAGTCTGTTTCTCCCCCTTCGTCTTCCCCACCCCCAGCTCACAGGAATGCTTGCTTTCTCAAATAAATTAGTTTAAAAAAATCTAAAAAAAAAAAAAAAAAAAAAGTTGGGCCAAGGTGACTTTTAGACTTTATGGTATGATCAGTATCCTAGTTTAATGCACAGAAAAGCATTAGAGTTTAATGCACAGAAAAGTGTAGAGTTTCCATTAATCCATTTAGTAGGATTAAAATATATATATATTTTTTCTAAGAAATATTCACATCACAACAAAATGGCAACACATTTGTGTTCTCATCTTATTTTTAATGCATTCATACTTTAAATGTTATATTCACCACAAACTAATTATTTTCAGTTTTATAGCTTTGTTTTGAAATTATTTTTACTAGATAGTGTAAAAGTTTTAACTTGATTTCATACAATGTGTGTGATTTATTTGGATACTGACTGAACTCCTTTTTCCAATTTATTCACAAACTCAAATAATTTTCCTCAGATTAATGTAATAGTATTCATCATGATAAATTCATAATCATATAAATAGAATCTTTTTGAGCACTGTTACTTTCTGGTGCTTTACAAGTATTACATTTAATTCTCACAACACACTGCAAATTTGGTATTATTAACTTCTGTTTTAGAAGTGAGAAAACAAAAACTTACTGAAGTTAATTGACTTAACTACTCCGTAAGTCATAAATCAAATATCTGGTTCCAAAGTCTGCATTATATCTTTTCTCCAATTTCTTCAGAAAACACTTGCTTTCTTTGTTGATACATGCGAGAATGAAATTATCTTACAGTTTTATTACTACAGCTTCTAGGGTCACTTGGGTGACTCAGTCGGTTAAGCGGCTAATTGCCTTCTACTCAGGTCATGATCCCAGGGTTGTGGGATCTAGCCCCTCTCCTCCTGCTTACACTTTGTCTCTCTCTGTATCAAATAAATAAATAAAATCATAAAAAAAATACAGCTTCTAGGTACCATTATGAAAGGACACTATGAAGCAATGCTTTGTGTTAATTTAATTGTCTTATCTCAAAAATTAAATATTTTTGCATAACTAAAGCATTGTTGTCTGCCCCATATCTCTAGGTCATTAAACTCAATAAACTTGTTATGTTTACCACATAAGATGATAATAACGATATTGATATTGTGCATGTTATGTTCATTTTATATGTGTTTGGGAATTTGTACAGTCATTCACATTTTGGAGTGTAATTTTATTGATGCTGGAGTTGGTAATGGGGGTGGAAGTTTACATTAGAGGTGGCAGAAGTGATAGTAGAAAATGTCTCTATTCAAAATTTAGTTTTGCTTAAACCATGGTTAGCTCAAGCGGGTTGCACTGAACTAATCCATACCTTCTACCACCTGGATTTGATGATGGAGCCCAGAGTAATATTTGTGTTTTTATTTTGTCTAGGGAGCTGTGAATATCATGAAACAGTGTATGCACATTATGCTTTAATGGTATTTAAACCATTGCTACATGACAGAAGTTGGCATTATTAATGTTATTACACTTAGGTGAATTTTTTCTGTCACTTGTAATTATAACTTTAAAATATACTTGGTGACCTAGGATTTTTTTTTTTTTTCCCACATTCATGTTCTGTATACAGCTGTCTGGAAAGCCTTTTGAATTTGAAATGCGACATAGTGGATAATGATATAAACTTCATTTCCAGGTTTCACTTTAGGGAAAGTGCCCCTGGAAGACAAATACGTTGTCTGTTGTAGAAAGGGAAGTGTTGATACTTACAGGCAGAGATAGTTTTACCTTCAATGCCAGGGAACGGAGATGATTTTATACAATTGAAAATGTATCACACTTGGAACAGTTTAATTAGAAACTTATATCAAGCAATTTGAATATCTCAAATGCAGAGAAGTTAAGATTATATTCAAAGAAAAGACATGTGACAGGTTGGCATTTTCATTCTCCTGCCTTAAGCAAGAAAAATTTCAACCAAGATTTCTGACCTTAACATAAACCTCAATATAAAATACAATTCAAATACTGTCATTTCCTGAAGATTTTCAATTATTTTCAGGTGAGGAGAGGTTAAAGGTTTTTTTCTTAGTACTCTGTCCCCAAATAGCTCATGCTCTTCCTCCCCTGAGACATAGAAAAGAATGTAACTTTTTAAAAGTAGTTGAGAGAGGGAAAAGAGGAATAGTTAGGGAGGGGAGAATGTGAGAGTGAGAGAAAGGGAAGGGAGTGGACAAGGAGAAGTGTGTGTCTCCATAGACAGACACAGGAAGAAACTTAACTTGTAAGGAGGGAGACCTAAGCAGGCAAGTCTGAAGGAGAATAGAGGAAAACACCTTAAGGGAGAAAAAAAGGAAAAGCAATGCAGAGGGAAAAAAGATGTAAAAAAGTTGTTGGGATTTGAGATTAAAACACAGGTTAATATTTAAATAGTTAATAGCATTTCTGTAATTGGATTTGATAGACAAGAGTTGGTGCAAAATTAAAATTACATATATTCTTATTTTTTAAAATGTACAGGCAATTTAGTACAATATAAATTCATTTTATAAAGCACATTCTCCGTTTTAAAATTATTTTCCAGGGGCGCCTGGGTGGCTCAGTGGGTTAAGCCTCTGCCTTTGGCTCAGGTCATGATCTCAGTGTCCTGGGATCCAGCCCCACATCGGGCTCTCTGCTCAGCGGGGAGCCTGCTTTCCCCCCTCTCTCTCTGCCTACTGCTCTGCCTACTTGTGACTTCTCTTTCTGTCAGATAAATAAATAAAATCTTTAAAAAAAATTATTTTCTAGTGTTCTAGTCTCAGTGCTCTGTCCTCTTTCCCTTTCACCTTCCTATTCCTTAATGTACTTGTTTAATTAGCTAGGAGACACTGCAAAGTGTGTGGTATTCAGTTTACATTTGAGAGAAATGATTAAGTAATTATTATAGCCAAAAACAAACGAACAAAAAAAGCCTATCTAGTTTTGACCTCATGTAGTGAAATGGATTTAATCTGGTTTAGATAGAAAAATAGGGTTAATGCTACATTCTTTTAATTTTCTTTGCTTGTTTCATTGGTTTCCAAGGCCTGTTTATACATTTGGTTACTGCAGTTGTGTTTATTATCTTTGTGATTTACAACAACCATTAGTAAATGTTTTACAAAAAAAAAAAAAGTATGCTTTCACATTGAGTTGTGGGTTTGACAATAAACTGTATCATGTGTAACTGAGATTGTATGACTTGCGTAGTTAGGACTGAACATCCCTAAATCCATACAGACTACTCATAATCACT